CGAGCCGAGCTGAGCTACGCCTCTGGCTCGTAATATTAACGAGCTGTCTCGTTAGCCTAACGAGCCAGCTCGAGCTGGACCGAGCCGAGCCGAGTTGGACCGATATCCAGCCTAGTCCTGGCCCGTGGACAAGGTCCGACATAGCGAGACCCCTACTGCCTCTTATAAAGCTAAACTTCACAGTAAGTTTATCTCAATACGCAAGACATCCACGTCATTTCTCACTGTCTATCCACATCGTCCCCCACTAATAGCCATGTCATCCATTAATTTTCAATCTCTTAATGCAATCTGTTCACACCATCACCGCTAAGTGCAACTAAATTTTAATATATAAGAAATGTAAAGAGCATTCATATACTACTATTTGTTTTGCCATTCCCTCGTCTAATAATTCACCCCTATCTAAACCTCAATATAAGTTTATCTCGACATGCAAGACGTCTACATTATTTCCCACTACATATTCACATCATCTCCCACTAATAGCTATGTCATACACTAATTTTCAATCTTTTAACGTAAGCTGTTCACACCATCTTCACTAAGCGCTACTTAATTTTAATATATATAAGAAATGTAGAGGGCATTCATATATTGTTAATTGTTTTGCCGTTCCATCGTCTTATAATTCGCTCACTACAAGTTTATCTCAATACGTAAGACATCCACATCATTTCTCACTGCCTATCCACATCATCTTCCAGTAATAGCCATGTCATCCACTAATTTTTAATCTCTTAATGCAAGCTGTTCACACCATCTCCACTAAGCGCAATTTAATTTTAATATATAAGAAATGTAGAGAGCATTCATATATTACTATTTGTTTTGCCATTCTATCGTCGTATAATTCGATCTAATTCTGTTAGTTTTTTATTGGATTCTTTCATTGTTCACACTATTTCCACTAAGCATAATTTAATTTCAATATATAAAAGTTATAGAGGGCATTCGTATATTGTTATTTGTTTTGTCATACCACAAGAACATATAGGTTTAATTTATACATACAATAATTTTATTTCTAAGAAAGTTTCGTGGCAACACACGGGGTATCTTCTGGTACCATAGACAAAGCATCACCGCACCGCCTGCTCGTCTCCACGAGTCCACCGTATAGATCTCCATGCAGCCTGTGGCACGATGGCCCGGCACGAAGCCCGTATTTTTGGCCCGACACGAGCACGGCCCCCAGGTGACGCGCGGGCCCAGGCTGGCACGGCCCGGGGTAGCAAGCCGTGCCTGGGCCTTACCCCAGGCACGACGTGCTAGCCCGGCCTACAATGGCAGGCCCGGTAGCGGCCCGACTCCCCCCCACGACCTGCTAAGAGTAAGAGCCCACTCTAATCCCTAACCCCGCATCGCACTCATTTCCCCCCTCCCACGACCCCACCCTCGCAGCCCCCGCAGTCCCTCTCGCTCCATCCCGCGACTCACGGAGTCGCGATCGCGCTCGCCTCCCGGCCCTCCCGCTCGGTCGCGCTCACCTCCTCGCCTCTTCCTCCCGCTAGCGGCCTTACACCACCGCACCACCGACCGCCTTCTCCACGCCCTCCCTCGTGTAGCCGCATCGCCCGCGTCGGCTTCCAGTGGCGGCGGCGGCTTCCAGCATCGGATCTAGAGGCGGCGTCGGCTTTCAGCGGTGGATCTAGCGGCGGCAGCTTCGAGCGCGACAGCAGCGAGCGCGGTGGCCGACCTCGAGCAACTCCATTCCTCGGTGGCCAGCACGCCGGCGGTCGCCGCCACCTCTCCTGCTTCCCCTTTTCCTCTCTTTGTCGGCGGTCAGTGGGCCTCGGGCTGGCCCGGCCTGTTGGCCGTGGTGTGCTTTTCGAGCCACCCCGGCACGAAAAAGCGGCCCGACAGGCTGTGCTTGGGCCGTCAGCCAAGCACGAAGCCCAGTTCGGCATGGCCCGAGAGGCACGGCGTGCCGTGCCGGCCCTAAACCCCATCGGGCCGGGCCGGGGCGGTCCGGCCCGGCCCGTTGGCCATCTATAGTCCACGGTGCAGAGAACGACAACAAGCGCGTGTTCGTTCTTGCTATTGGTGACGACAGCGGCTCGCACGCCGTCCCTGTGACGGTGGCGTGCGTGAGGACGTGCAGGCGCTATGGCAACGGGGCTCTACTATACTAGTACTAACAAATGAAAAGATGTGGGCGCGGCGAGGTGCAAGGCGTCCGCGAACCGCGACAGGAAGCTGGAGAGAGTGTGCATGCACACGGAGGTACCAAATCCGCCATGTCCGATGCGGTGGCCTGTGGCCGGTGGCAGTGGAAGAGGGAGACGTTCTGGGCATGTCGCGCAAGATGGTCTGTGAATGATGGACAAAGGTATGCATGTATAATTGTCGTTGAATGTACTAATGTAGTGACATTGATGAGCTGAGAGACCAGAAAAATGCACTTGTTTCATTTGTTCTAGGGGCAAAAATGTCTTCTCCACTCTAACTTGACAGCAAATGTGGCTAACCTATATGGCAACAATGGCACGTAAGGAAAGGTAGATTAAGACCGATGGTAACAATCAAGGGAAGCTATACATACTTTTGAATGGCATATAGGAGATCCGGAGAGAAGTGTACAAATTTCGATAGTGCTATCATTAAGACGTTCGGAAGGTCGGACGTCTCGTTCCACTCGCGTGGCTCGTCTAAAAAAAACCAAATCCTCACGGAAGCTCGTCTCCCCCATTCCGCGCTGTTGCATCGCGGCTTCACGGCTCCCTGCGGCCGTCCAACCGCCCCAATCTGGTAACAATCAAGGGAAGCTATACATACTTTTGAATGGCATATAGGAGATCTGGAGAGAGTGTACAAATTTTGATAGTGCTATCATTATGTTCCACTCGCGTTGCTCGCTAAAAAAAACCAAATCCTCATGGAAGCTCGTCTCCCCCATTCCGCGCTCGTGCATCGCGGCTTCATGGCTCCCTGCGGCCGTCCAGACGTCCCAATCTGTCGTGCTTCCACCTCCATTCCACGCCGCCGCCCACTCCGGTGCGCCGCCGCCCGCCATCCCCCGCAGCGCCCCCATCCCCACGGCACATCCATCTCCCGCGGAGAGGAGGAATCCTCCGCGTGAGGTACGCTATCAGCCGTCCCACCAACTGCAGGTGCCACCGGACCCGGTCGCCGACGCCTCACCCTCTGCCTCCAAGCTCCATGCGCATGCTCGGCGAGTGCAGCGACGCCTCTGTCCCCCGCCGTCCTCCATCCTTCACCGCGCCTAGGCCAGGCGGCCAAGAGAGGGGCATCGTTGGCCAGGCCCAGGCCAGGCGCAAGCGCAACTGCCCGCTATCAGGCCGCGCCAAAATCCTTGGCTGCTGGCCGGCTAGAACCGGCCGTCCCCCGTTCTGCGCTGCGTCGTATGAAAGAAGGATGGAAAACACATGTGCAAGCGTCTATTTCAAATATTTTCAGAGGTATGTTGAAAGTGTTTCATACGGTTGTTGCAAAAGTAGATCGGGATGTTGCACATGTTGCAATGGTTGTACACGTATGTTGCAAGCTCATGTTCTCAATGTTTTATCTGTTTTTTTCTGACATATGTTGCAAGTGTGTTTATCTGGATGTTTCATATGTTTTCACACATATGATGCAAGCGTTTTATCTGGATGTTGCGTACGTTTACAATGGTTTCAAGTGTTTTTGTAAGTGTTTCGGATGCATGTTTCAAATGTTTCATTTACTTTCAGTCGTATGTTGATTCTGGATGTTTTAAAACTAGATCGAGTGTTGCATCTCCCTCCTTGCCTTTCTGTTGTCTCGCCTCGGTGTCAAGTGTGGGAAGACGGAGGCAGTCCCCACTAGCGTGGGCGGGTGCAGCAGGCAGGCGCGGGACGAGGACAACGACGCGGCGCCCGGACGAGGGGCCAGCGTTCGAACGTCCGGGCACTGGCCATTGATTGCTTTCATCGACACGATCTAAATTAATACTCGAGAAAGAATCTTGACGTTTATGTACGATTTTTGTTTACTGACTGATTAATTTCTTATAACTTACTTTTTTTTATCTTTACAAAATATGCCATCAAACATTCATGTTTTTCTAAAAGTTTTCGTAGGCCTCTTTTCGATGAAATAACACAGGTACCTATACTGTACTAGGAACGAATGAATGGCTGAGGTTCCCACACGCTAACGCAAGAAATGCTAAGCCTGTTCGCTTGGTCGTATTTGACTTATAAGCCATGACTTCTCAGCCAACGAACAGTATTTTTCTCTCACACCAAATCAGCCAACAGTATTTTCAGCCTTGGCTTATAAGCTAAACCAGCCCGAACGAACATGACATAAATTGGATCGGTTCAGAACTTGCACCTGTGTATGTGCCTCTGTGGGCAAACAGAGACAGCTGGACTGATCCCCTGTAGCATATACAGTAGTTTAGTATTTATTATTATCTATTCTATCAGCAACTTACCGGCCTCAAGCGTCAAGGATCTTTTGAGATGGTCGACCGCGTCCTTATCCGCGCAGCTTTGCACCGCCATGGGGCGCGAGATATTTGCGCCGGCCATGCGGACGTGGACGGCGACGACGACTCCGGCGGCCTGCTGCCCGTCGTAGCCGTGGGCGCGAGTGGGTCGTGGAGACAGACGCCTGCCTGCGTGGCTCTCGCGCAACTGCCGTGTGGACAGCCGCGGGGGCATGTCGCACACCTGCCCCGTCCACCTCAGCGCCTCAGCCAGCCAAACCGCCTCCGCGCCGCGTTTTCCCAATCTGGAAATTTACCACCAGACCGGGCGTGCGCGTGCCACAAACATACGAGTAGTACATCCCCCTTGGTGATTGGTGAATGACCCCCCGTCCGCCCGCCGTCACCGACCGCCGGGCCCCATCCCGACCTCCCCGTCCCCGACTCCCTCGCGCAGCGCAGGCCGCAGGCGCAGCAGCCTCCAGCAACCGCTCGCTCCCCTGCTCCTCCTAGCGCGCGTGAAGAGAAGGGAGGTCGGCAGCCGGCTACACTGGCGGCTCGGGTTGGAGCGGGCGGGAAGGCGATGGCGCGTCGTCGCGGCCGCGTGGAGGTGCGGCGGATCGAGGACCGGGTGAGCCGGCAGGTGCGCTTCTCCAAGCGCCGCTCGGGACTCTTCAAGAAGGCCTTCGAGCTCTCCCTCCTCTGCGACGCCGAGGTCGCGCTCCTCGTCTTCTCCCCCGCCGGCAAGCTCTACGAGTACGCCTCCGCCAGGTGATTAATTTCAATCCCCCCTCGCTCCCCTTATTGTTGCTCGCTCATCCGATTAGTAAAGCTACTATAAGCAAGGGCGGCCGGGACTATGGATCGACTGGAAGCCTGGAGCAGTTCGTCGGCGTCGATCCTGTTGTCCCGCGGCGAGCCGCCGCCTCGCCATCCAGACTGTCCCCCGAGTGGCACCACCTTGCATCATGTGAGCATGACCCCTGTCCCTCTGCGTTCGTCCACCTGTTCCGGATCTTGCCTTAGACCTGCTCCAGCTCCGGCCGGGTGTGCTGTGCTGTGCTCTGCCTTAGGCCAACAGAAGCGCGCCCCTGTCTCCTCTCGCCATGCGCACGTGCTTTGAGTGCGGTGCGGATGGAACTGGGCTCGCTTCGCTTGAGGCCTGGTTTAGTTCCACCCAAAATCTTAAAAAGTGCTATACAGTATTTATCATATTAAATATTTGCGGTCTATGCATGGAGCATTAAATATAAACGAAAAAAAACTAATTACACAGTTTGATGCGAAATTACGAGATAAATATTTTAAGCATAATTAGTCTATATTTGAACACTAATTACCAAATAAAAACGAACATGCTACAATAGTCCCAAATTCCAAATTCCTGCAACTAAACACGCCGTGAGACTACCAGAGAGGGCGCGCGCGCCCGTGAGCCGTTGACATCCGACTTACTCCGTACTACTTATTTATTTATTACTGATTGCTGATGTTCGGAGAGAGAGGAATTTCAGTTCCGCCGCCGTCACTATGCAAATTCCTTAAGGCCTCGTTCGTTTTGGCCCGGAACGGCCCGGAACGCGGCCTGATCCGCCCGGATTGACATGGCCCGATTCGAAGTCAGGTCGGGCTAGGATTGATCGTTCGGTTAGATACGGCCCGGAAAAGAAACGGGCCAGGTTTGGCCATTCCGCTCCCTCCACGGCCCGGAACAAAGCCACACCTCCTACCCTCCGGATCGGATCCTGGAGGGAGGCGGCGTGAGGTACGACGCGACGCGAGAACTAGAGGTGAGGCGACCACGAGCTCCCGCAGTGGAGGCGATGGCGGGGCGGGGCGGGGCGGCGTGAGGCGACGGCGACGACGACGCCATCGACTCCAGGCGTACATCCTTCCCCTTCCTCGTCCTTCTCGCCGGTGATCCCCTCGCTCTCCCCTTCTCTCCCCTTCGTCCGGACATGTATTTTAGGGTTCTTGATTTGGTTCTTGCGCGTCTCTTCTTGGATCCCGAGTATTTGGGATATTTGGGTGCCGTTCGGGGTACACGGGGAGGCCAGGACGTGAGGAGTAGAGCTCGTGTTGAAGATGTCCGCCTGCAGCGATGAGATGCTTCTCCCGAAGGAGTCGTTGAACAGCTAGTGGTCCATGCTAGCTAGCTGCCGCTTTGTGTGTGTTCTTAGTAGATCTCAGGAGATGAAATTAAAGAGGAATCCCTATGAGGCCACGCTGACATTATTATTCTTTGAGCACCAGCCTGGATGTTTTCTTTTCCATTTGTGCGGCAATACTGTTTTAATTTGGATACATACATGATAGTATAAGATTGATAGTGGAGTACTGTACTTGTAAAGGTTATAGGCACGGATGATGTAAACCATCAATTGATGACTGCCAAACTAATACTCCAAACTGAATACTACTCCTAGTAGCTTGGGTACAGTACTGGATAGCAGCATCTCGTCACTTTCAGAACAGGTTCAAGTGTGTAGGACGGCTCATGTGTGCTACATCCTTGTCTGCCAACAGTCGCTGGATTTCATCAGCTAGCGATAGCACCATGTGGAGCATAATCCTCTTGCCACAGAATGCTTTCTGAAGAAATTCACACTGCAAGTTCTGAGTACTAAATTTTTAATTTTCTCTTGCTTAATATTTTTATTTTCCTTCTATCAGCTAGTTGCAATTTGTAACTGGAATTGGATGCCTTGTCCTCAACTTGAATTGAATGTTACCAAACCATGGCCATGCTTTGATACTGGTGCTGGAATCTGGCACAATATGATGACCTATTACAAGCAAATTGGCTTTATTCACTTTGGCCATGCTTATTCACTTTGGTTTGGCTCAAAAGTGCGATGGTCTAACAGGTCAGTCTACTTAATTGTTGAAAACTTGATGTTTTCCTTCTATTTGACTACAAGAGTCCTTTAGTCACTACAAAACTGAAAGAAGAAATATTTTCTAGTTCTGTGCAACCCTTAGAGATGAGAACATTTTGATAGTTGAGTTGCTAGTAAGAGGATTTGGACTGTAGAGATGCATTTCTAGTCAGGTTGAAAGCTGAGATCTGCTCCTTTCATTTAGCTTGAAAATTGCTGTCCTTTTACAGTAAGGTTGAAAGTTGAGATCTGCTCCTGTCATTAGCAAATGAAACAGCTGGCTAGATAGGCCTGTACAAGGTTGAACAGCTGTCATTTAGAAAATAGTTTTAAAAAAGTGTTTAAAAAAACTTTGGCTGATACCTCGCTAAAAATCAGTACACATTATGCACTTCAAAATTCAGAGCCTGTGCGATGAGTCTGATGTTGGAAGGATGGTGAGTTGACTGTTGGAAGGATGGTGAGTCACTAACATAACCTCGCTGCCATGAGTTGACTGTAATTGCTCCACAGTTGCCAGGGACAGCAACAGGGAGATATCAGAGATATACCTCGCTGCTGCAGTGCTCAGAGCACAGCCTTGCACAGAAAATAGGCTATTTTATTCACTGTAACCTGCTGAGCATGACCCCCCGTGTCACAGACGTATACCCTAACTTTGTTCATAGGATGCCTTGCATGATTCGAGCATTTGAATCTAGTTCTTCAGCTTCTCATACCGAGAAACATTAGGTTTCTACCAATACAAACCCCTTACTTTGAAGGGCAAGGTATCACTATTCTAGGGTCTAAATATGCCTCATGCCTATCTCTTCTCTCACAATCTTATTCGTGTAAGTATTGTATCTATTTTCTATACTGGGAGCTGTGCAGTGCGCTCAAACTTGCAGTCTGTCTTCCTCCTTATTTTGATTGGCAGTCTTTCTCCGGTCTTTAGAAGTTTGATCCATTTGAGGCGTGGAACATTGAATTGTCGACTGAGTTCGAGCTGTACATGCCAAAGTCTTGGTAGTCCAGCAGCCAGTCTGTTGTTCCATCCCACGGCAACATCCCCTCGACATTGCCAAGTTCATCGTTGCTGCTCATAAAATTCAGCCATGGCTCATCCATCGACAGGTCTGTCTCTGACAGCCAATTCACCAGCAGTTCAGGGTCTTGATCACAGCCGTTGGTGCCTGACTCTGGCCAGCTGGACTGCTCTGATGAATCAGTGGACAGCGGAACCTCCCTATGGCTGTCATCCTTCAAGCTCAGCTCCTCTCTGAAGTCGCTGGATTTAGCAGATTCATCTGTAACTGTGGACTGTGAGGAAGCTGCCTTGGAATTGGCTAGAGGCTGGTGCGTGGCCGGGTCGATGCCCATCTTGATGAGCTTCTTCTTGATGTGCGTGTTCCAGTGGTTCTTGATCTCATTGTCTGTTCTCCCAGGTAACTTGGCAGCAATCTTGGACCATCTGCATAGGTTTAAGTCATTAGGAGCGCACAAAGCGGTTGTAATATTTTGTTTCTGGAGAACGAAGCACATGAGCAGAAAGGAGCAGCTAACCCTTTTTACTAAAGTTTCAGCCAGCTGAATTTGAAGCAATTGCATAAATTTACAAATTTTCATTATATTGCTAAATGACAGGAGCAGATCTCAGCTTAATTTTTCATTATATTGCTGTCCATTATATTGCTTAATTTTCATGATTGCGAGTCATTTTCGTTCAATTATTCAGTAATTTGTAAAACAGCTTGCTGTCATTTTCAGGGAGGAGGCAACAATGATCAAGAAACATTCGATTGGACAAAGTGCCTGGACACTTGAGTAGGCTTAGACAAGTTATCTACTGGTTTAAATTATGCTTTGGATTTATGCACTTTGTGATGGTTTGTGTGAGAAAAGATTGTAATTTCATGAGTGGATCATGACAGCCTTTTGGTGCACCTTTTGTCAATTTTGGCAGTAGCTAGCATGTCCTTTATCTGTGGCTGCACATTATCTGTGGTACTCTTTGCTGCCCATTATCTCTACATGTATGAGAGCATGATGAGAGACTTGCAGATAAAGAACTTCAAAACATGGGAGATTTATTTATTTTATTTTGCTGCAATGTATGAGAGCTTGTTTTTGCTGCAATGTATTTGCAATGTATTTCATGTGATGTATTTGCAGCACTCCAAAACAGGCACGTATCCAAAACAGGTATCTGCTGCTAGTGCCCCAAGCAATACCTGTTTTTGATCCCTGGCAAACCGAACAACAGATGATTGAAGCAGGGAATAGTTACAGGCAGAGAATAGTTACAGGGCAGGGAATGAGTGACAGGCACGTATCCACTCATTCCTGGGCTGGAAAAAATCTGCTCCGGTATTGAATTCACAGCAAACGAACGAGGCCTAAATGGAAAGTACGGAAAGTTGGCTGGGGATCAAGATTTGTCTTTCCTTTACCCTGAGTGCCCTTCCTACTCCCAGATACTAATCCAATCCATCCGAGCCATGTTGGTTTGAACTTATCGGTCTACTCTCACAATAAATCAGTGAACAGTACTTTTTAGTCTGGCTTTTCAAACGAAACGAACGGGGCTAAGGTATAACTGTATAAGCTTTCGGTGGTTATTTTTCTTTATTTAAGGCATCATAGTACTACTGTTCAAAGCAAATTGTGTCATATATACTACTTCCAATATTTTAAGTAAAGTATATCTTTTCTATTGAAAGCATTTTATTTAAGATATTAGTACTAGCACAGTGTCCGTGCGTTGCAACAGAAACCTAATACGTATTGGAATCAGACTCCGTATCATCGGTAGTTGCGAGTTGTTCTAACTTGTATGAGCGCGGATCATGAGTCCGAATCATATACGAGATACAGAGGGCGTAACCCAATATGTATTAGAATCGAATTCTATATCTACGGGCTTTGAAATCTATTTGATTTAGTTGAATGAGTCTGGACCAGTCTTATCCAACAAATATAGCTAACTCGTTAGAGCAGGGCCCCTACTTATGTCCTTAACATCAAATTCGAGGGCCAGAGCCGCTCCAATAGAGCCCTTACTAGGTTCTACAAATGAGAGGCCCCTCAAATTTCCCTTGGGCCTTCATTCCTAGGGATGCTGCTTCAGGCCCTCAAATGACGGTTTCGGCCATTTCCCTTTCCGTGTGCTAGCAGAATAGCGCCTGCCTATCCGCCTCCTTTGTCGTGCCCGATGAGGCCTCCTCCAACGCGGCTCCACCGATAAGGCCTCCCTTTGCAGTGCGGGTAGGCGTGTCTCCCTTCCCCTAGTGGCACGAATCTCCAACGGTTGGCTCCCTCCATGGCAACCTCTCTCACCGACAACACCCTTCCTCGGGCGTGACTCCCTGCGTGGCTCCCTCGGCGAGGGCCACCCCTTGACTCTTCTCTCGGTGAGCCCCTTCCCATCTCGAATCCTCTCCCCTAGTGAGCCTCCTCCTGCCCCTGACTTCTCTCTCCCTTGCAAGCCCTTTTCGGGCCTTCCACCGACCCGACTCATGTCAGCGGTGGGCCATTCCACCGCCTTTCCCTCATGCGTGGCGTGCTCCTCCTGTTTTAGGCTCTCTCGGGTCCTCTATAGTTCAATAGATTAGAACTATGGTGGATGATGAGTGGGTCCCATATAGCAATGTCTACTGAAATGGATTTAAAGATCCTAACTTGAGAGCTTCTGTTGAAGTAGATGTAAAAAACATGTCTCTACATTTATGCTTCTTAATGACAAAAGACAATAAACATTTGAAAAAGTGTTTAGACGTCGTTTCCAATCTTTAGATTTTTTTTGAAAAAAATGGTTTAGATAATTCATTGTCTTCAATACTTAGCAACATTATTTAATAGTAGCAAAGAAGTTTCTCCTTATTGAATAATAGGTTGTTTTTCGATTTGGTAACACCATCGTATCTTCTTTTAAGGTCATTCACATCATCCTGAACAGACAATAGGATTGGTATGCTTATAGGGCTATTTGATTTGGAATACAATCTTCATTAGCAATAATGGAATGTTGAAGGAAGATATGCTAATTGACAATAGTAGAATGCCCTATGAAACAAGAATAATATTAGTATGCCCACACTAGCCATGCATGTGAAGTTGTAACAACATATATAACGATAAACTGATTTTCCATTCCTTCTATGTGCATTGCTATTATGCTTGGAACCTATTTTTTCCTTAAATTGTGCTTGATAAATATGCGAATGAGAATGCTAACTTGAGTATGGTTGTTCTCACCTTGTATATTGAAGCAAGCAAAGTCAAACCAACACTATAAGTGATTTCACATGACCTCGGCTAGCAAGCATAGTCAAATCAACACATCAAGTGATTTCACATGATCTCACCTAATCACTATTTTTGACACTCTTCTTCCACCTTTTTCACTCTTTTCGCTCAAAACTGGTTTGTGTCTAGTCAACCTTAGTTTTCTATAGTTTTCTATAGTTGTCTTTGTTGATGCACTCAGATATGTTGACCACTTGCAAATTATACTCAAGAAAGCTACCTCTTCTATATATATATATATATATATATATATATATATATATATATATATATATATATATATATATATATATATATATATATACAATGTATGGACATGATGTATAAAAGCTCACTAGAGTCATTACTCTTATATTTCTTAACATTTTTTCCTTGAGCATATCTAGAAGGGCTCTTTTGTTGTCCTAAAAACCCATCACTGGGTCACTCTCAAGTTATGAACATGTACTCAACTTATTCCATATGTTTTGTGTCCTTTCATAGCTATCATTCTCAACTGTCTAGGATTAAGGGGCAACACCTAAGAAGAATTTTATATTTAGCTTTCAAGGAAAGTAAAGGAAAGGAGAGAAGACAAGAAAAGTTGGTTATCAACTTCACTTACATGCATAGCAATGGAAGAAAACTAAGTGGGTAGAGCCATGTGCATCAACTGGACTCTAGCACCCCAATATAAAACATGTCATGTAAACAAAAGGCTTGTGCATCCCATGTTCTCGTAGATTTCACAAGATTTGAAGATGGAACTTTTTGTTGGGAGTTGGAAGTTTGTGGAAGAAAATTTACCAAGCTAAATCAAACTACTCGAACCATGGGGCAATTAACTCCCAATCCCAATATGTATAAAGAGTGCAAAAGCCTAACCAAACATTTAGTTAACAACTTCCTCCTCACAACCCACCCTACCCAACCTAAAACCTCTTGGATTTTCCACATGTGGCATATAGGTCTAGTCACTTTGAGTCTTTGACTCCTCTAGTACCTAATCATAACTTCAGAACCTAGGCGGCTTAGATGGTTGTCTTGGTATGTAGTGGTCCAAACTCTAGAGTCAGATATAAGGAATATCACCTTACATTAATAAATATGATAGGGTATGTATGGTAGAGAAAAGTCTATTTTTCGGACGGCTAACTTTGATATCTAGATGACACCATATCGAGGACTCTCAAAGCTATAGATCATCTTGCATTGCAATCATTTCTTCTTCAAATGAATAGATTTGAAGCCCATCAATACCATGCTCTACTCATCTTTATCGCCCATTGGAGGTCCATGTTTTTTTCCTTTAGAATCCTTGTCCCATAGAATATCTATTTTTATTGCCTTTTTTGTTTGATCCTAGAGCTTCATATAAATATGCAAAAAAAATCAATGATCTACATCTAAATACACACCCTTTATATTTGAAATTATGGTAATAAAATCACATAAGGGATTTCTCCATGTTGTGATTCAAGGGAGTAAAAGGCAAAAGAATATAAATAAGAAGTTCATAAACAGAAATTATCTTAGTTCTTTACATTTACTTGTGTAATTGCTTGATACAAGGATTGCCGTGATTATGGACTTGCATATATGTCTAGTAGCTCCTATTCGATTCATCGAACTTTGAATAGTATCTATATTCCCTCTAGGCTCTGGTCACATCATGTCATTTTAGGACAAACTTTGGTCAAACCTTAAAATGTACAAACATCAAATAACTTTTGAATCTATTAGTTTGGATACATGATAAAGTGTCAGTTGTATTCTAAGATAGTTATGAAATCTTGAAAATATATTCTAGAAGATATTGGTGGTCCAATGTATGCATAAAAAACCGTGCAAAGTTAGATGTGACAAGTAGGTTGTATCATGGCTCAGTTCTGATGTTTTTATATGATCAAGAATATAGCATTGAGAACTCTTAAAACATCTAGAGAAACAATGGTGCAAAACCTTTAAGAGAACTAAATAGAGTAGAATAGTAGTATGGAATGTGATGGACAGGGTATGAACTCAACTTTCTTGGCCTATCAAGTGAAATTCAAAACCATAAGGAAATGAGACATCATAATAATAAATTGTTTTCGACTGTAAGATTCAGGATGTAATTCATAATAATATACTCACCTCCAATAAAACTGGGTGCAGTTTTGTTCCACATGAGGTGAATATACATAAACTGATTTTCCAAGAGTACATTATGCAATGAGCTAATATCATACTCAACTTTTTTTCCTTTTCAGCATAGAGGATACATATAACCGCTATCAGCAATTTTCTGGAGAAGGAAGGAATATGAATGACGATCGAAATAAAAACAATGTAAAGATCTTGATGTGGTTTTTCCAATACATAACATGCAGCCTACAGTTGCCCAGCTTTTGATCATATTTTTAGAAAGAATCAGTCTTTACATACTGTGACACTTTCCAGTTGCCAGCATGAAACAACATGTTCTGTTGGCACTATGCAGAATGTCCTATTTGTACAGTATGCAAAATACCAGAACAAATATATAATATCAAACTTTTGATAAATGTAGCTTACTAGGGTGTTTCTGGTACAGAACAAGGATGAAGCTTCTTCAGATTTGCAGTTGATGCTGAGCGAGATTGCAGCCTGGTACACCAAGAATTCAGGATTTCCACCCACTTTTCTTTGCCACTTTTGATAAATGATTATAATTGCCTCAAACCAGCAGGTCTCCCCAGAGCAATGCTGACGAATCAGATGTCAATGAGCTGGAGAAGCTGGAAAATCTTCTGAGAAATGCTTTGAAGGATACGAGATCCAGGAAGGTACGACATTTTTTTCTTGAAATCTGAACAAAAAGCCCACAAGGCCACAAACAGGACCCTTGATTAGTTTTCATAAAACTAACCAAAACTGTTTTCTACTTCTATCTTTGTGCCTTATTCAAGTTGAGATTAGTCCAAACTGTGGTGCCTTTGGGTAGCTAGTTCATCATCTCACAGCTTTGGCGTACCTTCAGTTTGGTTAATGACAACCCAATAATAAGGGAGTGCAGAATACCAAATTTCTTTGGATGCTTCTAGCTTTTGTTGTTTTCTTTGGATGTTGCTAGCTTCTATCTTTGCACTTCGTGTAAATGCTGCTTTGCCTGGAAGCAGCACTGGAATGGGCAAGCACTGTTAGACAAGCTGTACTCTGTTTTCTTTACTTAATTGATCTTCAGTAGGGGCTTGCCCCTCCTGTTTTTCTAAAAAAAAGTTAGGAACCAGCGAAAGAGCATATATATCTTACCTAGCTTTCAGTGATACTTCTGCTATGAATGAGACAACATTTGGATTATATATGCTGCTTTACTGGATTAGCTCTAACAACGGGGCTATCCGTGAGCCTTGTGTTGTAATCAAGTCTCTCTGTAGCCTGCAGTCTGAAATGATCAGTCAGCTAAATTACTATTTAATACTGGCAAATGCAATCCAGTGCTATGCTAATTCCTACTTTGGTATGGTGATCAGATGCAGATGCTGGAGAAACAAAACAGTGGAGCGAGTACAAGCGGCCTGCAAAGCGAGGGCGCTACAAGTCAGGAGCAAGGAACGGCGTGAGCACAAATCTGTCCAGCTGATGAGTGCATGTGGGCGTGGGCGTGCACCGTGCCCCTACCTGGGATTGCCCCCTCTTACTGATCGATCGATGCTTGTACTGATTGTGGCCTTGTGGGTTGCGAGACGGTGCATTATATTGTTGTCTTGTGTTAGCTTGGGCCTGCCAACCTGCAGTGCCCCTGGAGGCGAGTGCAGTTTGATGCTCCCCTTGTGTGTTGTGATAAGCAGCCTACCTTGTAATGGCCAAAGTTTGGTGCTGCAAGCCTGCAACAACTGATCAGCTTGCATTTTGTGCTTCACAGTATATACACAGTAGCGAGTTACTGCATTTGAGTTGCTATACAATACGCGTTCTCAGATTTAAAAACTGGGCTACGTAGTTCCATCGAGCAAAATGATGGAATTGCAGAGGTGCTAGTTAAATAATACTCATCCCAAAATGTAAGTGATTCCAACTATTTTTTAGAGAGTCTAAGTATCTTAAATTTAACTAAATTTGTATATAATATAAAATGATATCATTTGTAATATGATACTAAATAAATATCATTAGATTATTTATTAATTAGATTATATTTTCGTACTATACCTATTTGATGTCATAAATTTTAGTAATTTTTTCTATAATTTTGGTCAAACTTGATATGCTTATGACTTATAATTTGGAATGGAGTGAGTAGTTCTTGGTGTTTACGTATGCTGTCATCGTATAACTGGAATTGTTCCTAGGTTTGTGAATTGTGATGCCTTGACGTGGTATGAGATTTGTGTGTTGATGTCTGTGTACCCATGCCACTTTGCTGTTGTTTTTGGATATCCGTTGGTCATGTTCTATGCATGCCTGGACATATCCTGGTTTTGTGACAATTTACACGATCATCATAACTGCCCAGGCTATAACATTGGCCTTTTTCAATTAGTGAACTAACAAGAAATACCTCTAGAACCATTTTTAGAGGCATTCTTTTTTATCCAACTACGGATAGAAAAACAAGACGCTCTAACATCGTTTTTGTAGCATCATCACCGTAATTTATCATAAAATTACAATTTAGTGAGCCAACTTCACATAACCTAAACTTATCTTGATAATTAGTCACCATATATATCACAAGACTTCCAAGCCGTGAAGAAAGTGCAGTTTTGTTATATGGAATGAGCACAAGCTTGTCGATTAATAACATCAAAGGACAATAAAGGTGTAGTTTTGTGATATTTAGTTTCAAATATGTAGTTTTACTACAATAATTTTTACAATCGTGTATTTTTATGATATTTATTTACTCTATGTTGGAAACCGGAGAGTCAACACTTGCAGGGCCAAATCATTTCATCTTGACTAATTCATTTCATCTTGCAGGGCCAAGAGAAAGCCAATTATTAATTCCTACTCACCATCACACATTAGCTCAACCGCAACTCTTATGGTGGGAGCAAGCAAGCGATCTAGCAAAGGAGTTTGAAAGAGAAAAGGCAAAAGGGTTGAGCGTCAAGAAGGGAATGTTAGAACTGGTTATAGCTTTCATGAATCCATTGGGCTTTTATTAGAAGTGTTGCGATGAGTATACTAAAAAAATTCCATTTCACACAAGAGATTTCAAAGCAGAATGAAGATTTTGAGCCCGGCTACTGGCATGCAATAGATGATATCAATTGAATATTAGGAGTTGTGCCTAATTGACGGAGAGTTACCACCACTATTGTTATGGAATGGATCAACGAAGGCTGAGATAACGTGTGGTGAGTGTTGATGCACATGGATTTAGTTGATTAAAGGCCATATTCACTGAGTATATAAGGTAAGAAGAATTGATATTCTATGGTCAAAAAAATAATACAGGATGTGGTAAAGATTGAGTCAGAAGAGGTCACAATTAAGATTAGAGGGAAGAAGAGCTGTCAAAAATTAGAGAACAACGAATTTGAGCAATAAGATAACACTGTTTTGAAGGCGACTGGTGTTCATTGAGATATGTGATAAGCAATAACTATTACTAAAAGGAAGTGGAAGTGCAAAAAAAAAATTCATCGTGTAAAAAGAATTTTATTCTTTGTAATGCATTTGAGGGTCAATACTGATGAAAAGTTAAATTAGTTTAGGGAGAAGGATCAGCTAGTATTTGTGTTCTTATGAACAAATTATTGTGTTTGCATTAACAAGATTATGTAAGATAGGCGTAACTGAGACGAACATGTATTGTGGTTGCGAAAATGGGAATGGTAGAAGAGAAAGAATACACTTGTGATAGAAAATAGAAGGAAGCCTAAATATGAACAATTAATAATTGCACCTATCTTGCACAATCCTATTTATAAAAAAACATAAATACTTTCAATTTAACTTTTCATAAACATAAATACTAGCCAGCCGTTTGCCCCAATACAAACTATATTCACCCTCAAATGCATTGCAAGGAATAAAATTCTTTTTACATGATTTTTGCTTCCACTCCCTTTGATAATAATTATTGCTTATTACAAATCTCAAAGAGCATCAATCGCTACTAAAATTCATTTGTTTTGTTAGCATTTTCAACAACTCTTCTCATCTTACTTGTAACCTCTTCCCCTGCATTATTTTTTTCACAACACAATATCAATTATTCCTACCTTATATACTCGGTCTATATAGCCTTTAATTAACTAAAGTCATGTGGATTGACACTCATCACGGTTATATCAGCCTCCATTGACTCATTCCGTACCAGTAGTGGTGGTAACTCTCCGACAACTAGGGATAACCCCTCATATTCAATTTAGCCCTTTTCCTTTTTAACAAAATTCTTTCTGCCCATGAAATCATCAATTCCATGCCAGTAGTCGGTTCTAGTTTGAAACCTCATGTTTGAAATGAAACTTTTTAGTCTAATACTCGTTGCAACACTTCCAAAAAAACCCAATGAATTCATGCAAGCTATAATCAATTCTAACATTTCCCTTCTTGACTCTTGATCAACCCATTTGCCTTTTCTTTTTCACAGATTCTTTCTTACTAGATCACTTGCTTGCTCACTCTGTATCGAGTTGCAACTAAACTAATGTGTGAGTATGAAGTAGTGTTTGATGGTGAGTAGGAATTAATAATTGGCTTTCTCTTGCATGTGACTAATAAGAATTAAATTTCTTCAAGCCTGCATCTATTCTCGCAGGATTGGTGTGCCTTGACAAAATTTTCTCCCATGTAAAAAAGATATGTCTTACCTTTATTGTTCGACCACAAAACTCATGGCGCAACGAAGAGCTTCTAAATCCCATGAAGTTTGTGGCTCTATGCCTTGGCAAATTTTGAGTATGACTCATTGCATGTGTTCTTTTGTCAAGAGTATGCATGCCTCCTTTTGTCTTCTGTTGAAGATTATGCATACATCTAGCCCTTCAACCGCAAGTGCTAAATGATGATGTGCATTATAACATGGTGGAAACCTATGGGCTAGCCGATCTGCATCTCCCCAAACGTTGTCGTGACATCCTCCTCCCCCACCAGCCTCCTGGCCCCGGCTCCCCACCACTCCACTCAGACTTGGCAGGCTACTGCCACATGGACACGTGCAGCTACAGCTCAACCGGAGCCTTTGATTCTAGCGAAGTTACTTCAAAAAGTGTACATGGAAAATATTTCACACGGGGTAGACTTTGGAGAATGAGTACACAAGGGAATGAAGGATTTGGATGAAGTAGTTATATGGCTCACAGTCATGTTCTCCTGGAGGGCATATGGTTGCACGGCAGCACGTGCTGTGCTGCGCGACCTAGAATTGCACAGAGAGAGGGTGGATGGGAGGCCGGCTACACGGCCCAAGATTAGGGTGGGACGGAAGTTTGCTACTGAATAACTATCTAGTACCTAGGCACCAAATAACAGAGTCCTATATATACATACATACACACACAAATGTGCATCTGTGGGTTTATCTAATTTTGCAAAACAATAAAAATCACAATGGCATATTCTAAATCCAACAAGTTTAATAATAATGATTGATGAACAATGCCAGCACTTTAAGAACTTGTATATGACTAAATTGGCAATTGAATAAACTGATCTTCTAGTCTCTTCGTTTTCTTTTCTTAGCACCAGACGAATAATGTTTCTTACATTCCATGGCAAAATTCGAATAACATCGAAATTAGATTAGAAGGAAAGAAGAAAGAACTCTAACCAATTAGCAACCACCAGTATCTAGAATGTACTCTACCTATAATAAAGATTAGATAAGAACAAACAGAGAAGAAAATCCCAAACCTCCATTGGAGATATGATACTATCCTTCTTCAGCCTGATGCCTGGATCTCTATTACGGATGGCCTCACTGGTCCGCGGACGCCACGCTCGCCCATGCCAAGTCGACAGTCGAGGGTCCGATCAGCGTGTGATGTTGATTGCGTGGATGGAGCGTGGCCGCGTCAATCATGGGCTCCTCGCGACGTCACGGCCGCGCCCTCGCTCGTCCCTCCTGATGACGACGATTGACTTGATCGCGATCGCTTGGTGTTTATATTGGGAATTTGGGATTAGGAGTCAAGGAGACGCGGAGATAGTGTCATGCAGATCGTCCAACGGCGAGGCAGAACCACAGAACCAGTCACAACCGCGACTCAGGACTCGGGGGTACGGACTGTTGCTTGATCCGTGATCTCGCCTTCCTGGGTTCTCGTCTCGGATCCTGTCAATTGGGCCATGGGCTGAGAAGTTTTTTTTGCGACAAATGGGCTGCGAAGTTGGGGGTTGTGTGATTGTGTCTAGCTAGGCCTACGGCTCTAGGCAGTCGCGCCCGCTAGCTGTACCATTGTGGCTAGGGTCGGCCCTAACACTCGTTTGTGCCTATATTTAGTTTTTATTTTGCAATTTACACACACCACGCTCACGTACCCCTATAATAAGCATAGTAATTAGTTCTAGCCTTATCCATGTAAGTGAATTGTTGGCCTCTCGTCCTTATTGCTTGTACACCACCTAGGTGTTGTTTTTTTAGGGGAACCTAGGTGTTGCTTGGTTCATCAGATTTGCCCATAGATCACGTTACTTCGCACTTGGTTGGGCCAACAACGTAACCAGTAGCGGCGGGACTATATACAGGCCATACAAGGTTCATACCATCCAACTCTGAGCATTAACCAATTACAACGCGGACTCTATCTAAGCGTAAAAAAGGAAACCAAAACAAGTGATGCTTCGTTAATGCTTCGGTGAGGGCGTTCGTTCGGGCGTGTGCGTCCAAACACGCCGTTCCTAGGCCTACGAAGCGATGTGGCCCAACAGGCAACGGGCATGCTCCTCTACGCTGACACTTTCCCCTCCGCCCACGATAAAAATCTGAACCGAAATCCCTAATGAAGTCCCTACTCGCTTCACCACATCGGGCGGCCACCCCACTCCGCCTCCGGTGCGCCCCATCCCCCTGCTCCTCCCATCCCGCCTCTGTGTTTGCCGTGTCTGCTCCCCCACGCCCACGCCCACTCCGCCTCCAGTGAGCCCCATCCCGCTCGGCTCAACGCCGTGCTTTTCGCCCACGCCCACTCCGCCTCCGTGCTACCGACATCGTCGTTGTTCCCCACCAAAAGGTCCTTGCCGCTATCAACCTCAGCTCGTGACATCACGAGATCCGAGTGGCCATACTCGGAGCGGGTTTCTCTAGCTGGCTGCACCTCGCGCTCCATTCCTCCCTCGGTGACGATTTTCGACGATGCGTACGAGGGGGCGACTCGGCCAGCAACGCCGACAAGGACGTAATTGGTTGGCAGGTCCATGGTCACGGGCATCAGGCAGTCAGGAAGGTCGCAAACAGCAAGGCCCCCGGGCGTCTAGCTATAATAGAACCGACCAATTATACGAAATTAAGTAAGAAAATCATCCGCCAGAGCAGACGATTTAGCAAACTTAAGCCCGTATAACCCGGTAGTCCGTGAAATCACGAAGGATTTCAAACCAACTCACATCCCAGCCACGATCGTAATAAGTTTAGCGGTCACCATCACATATTACATAAAAGTTCTCATCACAGATACATCAGAGTTTAAACATAGTTATTACAAAACGAGTTCGAATAAAAGTAGCGGAAGCCATTTGTTTAAAACCACACACACTCACACGGAGTTCAAATACAGTGCCAGCTGATGATCATCTCCAACAAAAGCATTAGATGAGATGTAAGGAATGACCATGCCCATGGTCCTAAGCATCACCCATCGTAGGATAAAGGCAGTTGATACAGTAACCGTAATACATCTGCCCATCTGCAACAAGTGGGAATAAAACCCTGAGTACGAGAAGGTACTCAGCTAGACTTACCCGACATAGCCGAAAATAAATGACACCAAGAATTATGAAGGGCTTTATAGTAGGGTAGCTGACTCATTTACAAAGAAAGCATTTTTAGCATTTCAAAAACCTTTCTAAAGACATTATTGCCAAGTTAATTAATTATAACCTGCCGACTAGATTTGCACCTATACTAGAGCAAACATGTGATTAAGCCAATAATGATAACCAATGATCATTAACCACTTCCATATTGTCATATGCATTATAACTGTCCAAGTGTTCCATT